ATAAACCAACTATCAACTTCTAGGAAAAATAGACATCATCGTCGTGTCTGAAAACATCGAAAGGAGGCTGAGATTGGTGGATCAAAGACCAACTCCCATAGTAGTTGATCTAGACTAATGTTATGAAAGCGACACTGCTATATATTTTTCACTTCTTCCTTAAATGTCTTCATTTTTTCTCAATTAATTTAAACTTAGAAGTAATGTCAGATTGATCATTCGAGAGAGAGGATTTCTAATATTTAAAAATGAGTGACCAGAATTTTAAACTGAGACTCTAATCTGGTATATTAGTATAAGGTAAGTATTAAATAGCTTGATGGCTCTGGGACCTTGAAGAACACTGAATTCCTATACAAAAATGGATTCTGCTCCCAGTATTATAATCCATGATTTGAATCTCTTGATAGTTTGGATTTTTTTCTCAATCCAAGGAAAAATACTCTATAAATTAGAAGAAAAAAAATCAATATATTATGGTCCTCTTAGTCATTTGAAGTTATAGTGGTGGCATCTTGCTTATCAACAACATATAATTTGAAGTACTCCATTTCACAAGCTTTTCGTTTGTTTATACACCCTAAATGAGATTACTGATTTTGCAGTCTGCTTTCATACTGTATTAAATTAAAAAGATGCTTTTCTAATATTAATATAGATTTATATGTACTTTCATTCAAACTCGCTTATTTTAAAATTGTTCTCTCTCTTGATAACTTGAACTTTGATAACTCTGGTTCCTTCAGTTTAAACTTACCAATAATCGACTATATGTTTAAATAACTGATGTATTGCATCGTGATTGAACTATTGTGAATACCAAAATTGCAAGAAAGCGCTCAAAATTCATGCATGTTGACTCCAAACGGTACTTAAATTTATCAAATACCTTAGATTTTGTCAGCGATTGAGTGAGCATTTATCTAAAAATATATTGAATCCAGGGAGCTGGAAAAGAAAAATACTTGAAACATCCTAAACATTTTATTGTCAAATAACCAAAGAAAAATTTGATCTGTAAAAAGTTTCACTCAGGTTGTGGGTGGGGTGGCCGAACGGGCTAACGTGTGTGCACAGCACTGCTGTTGCCCGTCAACCTGATCTATGAAACAATGGATTTAAAATAGTCATGAGTTCGTCCCGAGGCCAGGGGAGTCTTTTAAATCCCCGCCCACACCCTCTGGCCCAGGAAAACCCCATATAGCCAGGCGAGGAAGGGGAGGACCCAAAAAAAAAAAAGTTCCACTCAGGTTATTCTTGGATGGTGAAACATTTTTGAAGACTCAGCCCCATACACAGGTTACCATCCTATGGGAGGTGGGCGGGAAGGAAAGAGAGGATTTTCAGACATTTCAAAAAAAATCTGTACCACTAAAACCCATGAAGGATCTTGAGTTCAGTACTATTTAATGAAAGCACTGGTTCTTGGTATACAGTTGTGGAAGGAGGTGATTTGACCGAGATCACGCTCAACAGCCAGGTTTTTCCCCTTAATTGTTTTAATTAAGGGTACCCACTTTACAGAGGCTGGGTGTGCCCCAGGAGGGTCTACCTACCCAGGGTCGCACCACGGCCAATGAAACAGAATAAATATTTTTTCTGCCACGAGCCGGGATTTGAACCTGGAACCTTTAGCATTGGAAGCTCAGTACCCTACCACTGAGCTACCCAACTCCATCGGGCTGAAGCACCTCCAAAATGGTGAAATATAACCATGTCTTATGAAAAAATATTAAAAAATTATTTCTAAAAGTATAATTGTTCGTGTAATTACATTTAATAGGATTTCAAGAATCACTTAAACACCATTTCATATTTTTCTTCTAAATTAATTATTGTTATATTTATAAAAAAAAATGGTTTTGAGCTGAAGTGTCACCCAAAATTAAATCCTGTACCCATTAGTGGTCCATTATGAGTGTTTTTTATGATAGAGAAAAGGCGCTATATATTCTTCTACATATATCAATTGCACGGGCGGATCTACGAGGAGGGCTTTCGGGCTGAAGCCCCCCCAAAATGGAAAAATATAACCATGTTTTATGGGAAATTGTTTTAAAAAAATACCTCTTAAAGTATTATTGTTCATGTAATTACATTTAAAAGTACTTAAGGAATAACTTAAACACCATTTCATATGGGTAGTTAGTTTCTTTCTGTTTTTCCAAAGTAATTATCGGTATTTTTAAGAAAAAAAAGGTTTCGGGCTGAAGCCCCCCTCAAAATTAAATCCTGGATCCCCTAGTGATCAATTCCATAGATCTAATATTTTGTAATCAAAATATAAAATAACTAGAAAAATTATCAGAAGATTTTTATATGAGATAAATAATCTAAGTGCCAATGTGGAAAAGATATTCAAGAAAATATCAAACAATAATAATAATAAGTATTGTAACCTAAAATGGCACTGTGATTTTGAATTGTTATTTACTGATCTTAAAAAAAAAAGAATGATATTTATTCTACATAGTAAACTTTACCCTTATATACTCCACTTTAGTCAAAATAATGTATGCATGCTCTGTTAGTGAAACAATTTTGTTATAAAACAATTGAATAAACAATAAAACATAGAAGTAATACATACACGTATATTTTCACCTGACATACAATAGATATTTTTTGACAATATATGAAGCTAGTTAATAAATGGAAAAATATGTTGAAAACATTTACAACATTGATTTTTAATTTTTCAATTCTATGTTACAAGTGAAGGATACAATCATGTTATACAGATAATGAGGATTCAAAAGGGAGAATCTACTGCAAATTTGTAAAATTGTCTAATATATCATTTATTATATAAAATTTGAATAAAAACTTCAGGATTCTGGCAAACAGCCTACAACAATAAATCTGAATGAAAAATCATCTATTAAAACAAAAATTTTATTTGATTTGTAGTTTTATTTTCTGTTTTGAAATGATTATCTTCAGTTAAAAAGAGTCGTTTAAAATGAAGTTTATTTTATTATATATTATATTATTTTATTATATAGAGCTCAAATATTTTTATTAGAATTTATGTTTTATCGCCATTCAAATAAATACTTAGTATATATAAATACATACAATGGACTGATGCTAAAGTGAGATAATTATAGGGAATATTATTTGCTACTTCTTCCTCTCTCAAGTCTATCTCATGTTTTTATTAAATAATCATATTTTTCTTGATTCTTATCTCAATTTATCAGATCATGCTATGAATTTATGTTTAGGATTAATATATTTTTCATATGTGACCAGGGATCTTAGGTTGTGGTATACTTTTCCTGTATATTCACAAATGTTCTTGAATGGCTGTATTCTTTACTCTTCTTTATGATATAACTTCTGTCTTTGTATGTTCCTCTTGAAGAACCTGGCCAACCATTTCCTCTCCACTTCTTATATCCACCTTCATCTGTGTACTCCTCACCTCCGTCTTTCTGATGGTTACTAAACAAAAACTCGGTTTGGCTAACACTTTGTCTTACATGGCTATACTCCATCAGTCCTCTCTATCCAATTCTTTACTTAGTGGACACAGTGGCCTCCATCCTGTCCCTTATAATCTCGTTACCAAGTCTCAAGTCTGTCCATCCTTCTCTTACATAGGCATCTTCTTCAAAAATTCTCTCCACAGCTTGAACCTTTGAATAGAACTGGAATGACATGGGCCAGGTTTCAATTCCATACTTAAGGATGGGTTCTACAATGGCCTGGTGTGTCTTTCACTTATTTTCTTTAGAATTGTGTCGGTCCACAAGGCAGGATGGGTCATGCATGTGGTTTTCTAAGCTTGTTTCCTTATCCTCCGCACATCAATTTCTGAGGATCCAGAAGAGTTAAGTTAAGATCCTAGGTACTTAAAAATATCCGATTTTGTGCTTGCCTGAGAGTATTCTTCCTTATTGTATTAATGATAAAATAAATAAAATATATCACTTTAAGAAATAGAAGCTAGAAAAAGATTGTGATCCAATCTCTAAGTTATAATTAAAATATAAACAACTAAAAAAATGTTGACACTGCAATACAAAAAAATAAATAAATAAAATAAAAAAATCTGAGACACTCAGTTAAGAAGCTGGAAAGACAGACTGGTAGAGATATAGCATTATAGTGTTCCTGGAAGACAGTATAGTTAGCTATATTCCATCTACCTGCTTCAGGTATTTTATGTTTATCAGTATATTAAATAACACACAAGAAATTCTTCAAAAAACTTACCTTAATTCAGTGCATTGATTCTGTTTAGCCTGTTATCTTTCCTTTTATATTAAAATTTATTGAGTGTTCGTGTATGCCTTTTTCACCGCATTTGAAAGTTAATAAATCACATTATAGAAAATCTATGTTTGACCAAAGAATTTTGAAGAACTGTGACAAATCCTTAGTGAAATCAAAATGACAAATAATACGGTTTGTGTTTATTTGATACGATAAGGTTTTGCACCAGTAAATACTAATGAAATTCACAAATATGTTCTTAAAAGTTTAGCTCCTTCAAAAGTGTCAGAAACTTTTTTCTATAAATCGGCGATATAAAACTTAATTTTGGTTACTTTATTTCATTTTTCAATCAACTTACAATCAACGTTCCGCCATATTATGATGTTACCAGTTACTGTTATTCATTGCAATTACAGAACACAAAATGAAGTATTTATATAAAATAAATTACATCTGGAAGAACATATATTAAGTTAAGAAAAGATTCAAAACTTTAATTTATCATGTTGTTTGTCTCATGGCACTTATTATATCCTCCATAATCTTTTATATAAAAAAAAAGTTATCTTTGTCATGAATTGTGTGAATGCTAACGCACGAATGGAGCAAATATATTTCTCAAACCTTTTTTATTTGTATATCATTTCGATATAATGCATTTTCAGATGGATAAAATAAAAAATATTCCATTTTAATGTGGTGTACAAATCAGACTGTTTGCCATATCCTCAAATAAAAATTAATAATATCTGAGGACAACTAGCGTTTGTAAGGACCTTTGTCATTATATTCCTCCCCGGAAGAAGGTAAGTACTCGTGATCTTCGTTGTTGAGATCGTTGTCGAAAATCTCATTTAAATGTCCCCTGCCTCTTTCCATTTCTGCACTCTTTTCCGTTGTCTGCCAGTATAAGGAGTAGATGGAGGCAGTGCATTTGAGTTTCAAACGCCCTGATGGGAATAGTGATGGAGTTGCTAGAAGTTTGATCGTTGATATGGACACTTCCATAAGCTCGCTATCCATTTCTCTGTACTGTCTTACGGCCTCGCCTCCAACCTGAAAATTAATTTATTTTATTTTATTTATTTAATAATAATTATTTATAATAGTTATTTTTAATATATTTAGACATTTAACCATTGTAAACAGTAGAATATAGATATAAGTTGATTTGTTTGTTACAATTCTAGACATGAAAACCATCAATTTTATAAAATATAATAATTATGGAAATCTCACATTACCCTTGAAAAACTATAAAATGATTGGATAAATAAAATAATTAATAATTGTGGGTTGATGGTTGACTGTCGTGAATAATGATGAGAAGGATGGTTGGGGTGACCAGTCAGAAATAAAATGGCAAAAACAAATAATAATATTTATGTTAACATTTGCCGACGTTTCGACCTGAAGTTCAAGCCTTCATCAGGGCTAAGAAAAGAACCAGGTAACAAGGTCTGAGAAACATAAACAATTTAGGTAAAAAAAAATTATTAAAGTAAAATGAAGTGGGTAGAATAATGACAATAACAAGAATTAAGAAATAAATAATAACCGTTACAAAGTTTGGATTAATGAAGTAAACATAATCAAAATAAGCTGACATAAGTACTAAAATAATGAATAAATTGAAAATAATTAATACATAGTAATAAAATAACTAATAAATTGAATTTTCCATCATTGGAAAGATTAATTTTTTTTTTATTAAAATGGTTAGTACAATAACTTTGCACCTTAGAGGTATTTGACACTACATATATTTTCTACAATACTATATATATTATTCATACAATAAATATTATTCATATTATCCACAAGCACTAAAATAAATAAGAAGAATATAAACATTTTGAAATGTTTTCCTTAAGAAAATTAATTAGTTTCAATAATAATAATAGAATGAAAATTGAAAGTTATCAGAACGAGTTTCCTTGATTTTTAGTCTACTCAATGAATGCTTATGGAAGGAAATAGCAGGGACACAATTTTTGACTTTAGGACATTCTTTGGACTCTAAAAGTCACCACTTCTAGATGGTGAACCAGATGTGGAGGGGAAGAGGAGAAGACTTGGTCCCTTTTTTCGGGTTTTCACATACATCAGGGAAACTATACACAAAGACGTTCTCTACAAAATTAAAGCTGAAAATTTTTTCAATATGATTGGTTATATAACTTTTTTCGCTACCTCACTTAATTTCCGAGATATCCATCCTCAACTAAGGCTGATTTTGTAAAAAAAAATTTTTTGCATCATGTTTATTGTTGTATTTGTCTACCTGATTCTTGATTGCTTCCTTCTAGGATTAATTTGTGGAGAAGAAAGTTTTTAATAATTAAATTTTCTTCAAGAATATATATTATTCTACTAGTTTATCTCCAATGGTTGAAAAGTTAGATCAATTGTGCCAATTCCGAGAATTTGAAAAGGAAATTAGTTTTTATAATATTTGTTATTATTATATTGCTCTAACTCTCTATAAATCTAAATCTCTATATGTGAATATCTATATACATAAATACAAAAACGTATTTTGTAAAAATTACTTTTTTTCTGAAAAATTTTGGAATTGAACTATAAAGTTATAATTGATCTAATTTTTGAACTGTTGAAGATAGACTAGTAAAGTAACATATATTCTTGAAGAAAATTTAATTATTAAAAACTTACTTTCTCACGAATTAATCGTAGAACTAAGCAATCAAGAGTTAGCTAGTCAAATACAGTAAAAAACATGAAAGAAAATTTTTTTTTTCCATATTAGTGATAGTTGAGGACGGATATTTTGGAGACAAAGCGAGGTAGCAAAAAGGGTATATAATCGATCATATTGCAAATTTTATTAGCTTTAATTTTGTAGAGAACATTTTTGTTGATGCAGTGGATAGTCTTCCTGATACAAGCGAAAACCCGAAAAAAAGCAATTAATATGAGGGATTTTTTTTTTTCAAAGTTAGCCATTGTTGTGGACGGATATTTCAGAAACTAAGTCAGGTAGTGAAGAAAGATGTATTATCAATCCTATTGCAAATTTTATCTGCTTTAATTTTGTATAGAACGTTTTTGTCGATGCGATGGACAGTTTTCCATCCCACATCTGGCTCACCACCCAGGAGTGGGGACTTTTAGCATGTTTGCCTCCTCACTAATCCAAATAATGTAAGAAAGTCAAAAATTGTGTCCCCGCCATTTCCTTCTTTCTCCTCTTTTCGATCATTTGTTGACTGGACTAAAATGTCACATATTAACAATATTTCATACATGAATTATCATTTCGGTTATCGAAGTATTTTTTTAATGAATGTTACCATTTACTTCAAAAAATTTTCGGCTTCGTCTTCGATGGGGAAAAACTGCTCTTATGGTCGTTTAATATCTATTTTAATGACTCATGCGTATTTTCTAATGCGTTGAATTAGTGCGTCCTGTCGTTACTTTGAAACTTGTTTACAATCTGTTCTAAACACTTTCGAGCAGTTGAATCGACGTTGGGTAACTACTCATAAAGGCTCTACCTTGAGGAAATACTTTCCATCCGTCTATTCAAGGCTGGAAGCGAAATGGGTCCACCCTGATTATTGGGTGTTACAATACCTCATAGGGCATGGGGGTTTTCGCGCCAAGCTTCATGGATATGGGAAAGAAATTTACCTCCTATATTCCTGTTGTGGTGTTCTGGAAACTGCTGATATCGTCGCGACTTGCACCGCTTTTGAAGCAATAAGGGCCAAACTTATGAAGGAAACCGGACTCTATATCATCACGGAGGACGATTTCCCTCAGTTAGTAAGCAAGGATAACTACCCGCACTAGGAAGCATAAAAGAATTGGGGGGGGAGGGGAGATGATCACTTCAACCTTCACTAAAGAAGAAAGAAGAATCAGAAAATAAGTGGTTGAAGTATTACGGTACTTCAAGCAAAAATCTGTATTGCTGATAGGCAAAGAAAGAAGAAAATAAAATTTTAAAAATAAATAATAAATCTGTTCTAAACAAAATCATACTGCTAACAGGTACATGTATGAAATATTGTTTTTTTTTTTTATAATTAGACAATACTAACTGAAACAAATGAAAATCGTATAACAACATATGAGTTTTTCAAATTATTTTTCTGTGCAATCTCCTCCTGGGGTTTTGACTGTCCCTTACTGGTCACCTTGTATAATTTTTTTTTTTTTTTTAGAAATAAATATATCTACTGTAAACGATAAGTGATTTTCCCATTTGAAAAGAAATGTGTAAGTAAACTCGTGTGAGTGGGACTGGCTTTTAGCCCCAAAAGAAAGAGAGACTAGAACAAAAGATCCTTAAGATCAATTTTTCAACAGCCATTAGTGGGGGGGAGAGGAGAGAGAACTCGGGGGGAAGGGACTTATCTTCCAAGCCGCCTTAGCCATCTTCAACGGCTTTGTCCCTATGACCCCCCTTTCCTCCCTGCCATCTCTCCTCAATTCCCTATCTTCTTTAATCTATTAATTACTCAATTAACTCGTTCTAATCATCATTTCCTAATAGGATATCCTTATCGCCCATTACTAAATCATAGTAATGGTTAATCTGGAGTTTACAACTGAATTTCGATATCTCCTCGTTTCGTTTCTTATCGGTCTCCGTTACTTGAGGAATCGTTTCAAGTGAAATTATTATCGTAATGATTTTTGTCAATTTAATCAATGGAGGCTATCGACTAAATTAAATATATACTTGCTATGTATGTACATATACTATGTATATGTACTGTTTGTTTTTTTATTTCGTCACTCACAAAGATCCTCTCCGAATTAAATGAGCTGAAACACGGTATTTATGGTTTTTTTATAGGCAGAAAAATTCCATAGATTTTTATTCAATATTATGGTACATTCATATATCTTTTGGTCTTTTTACCCAATTTTCAAAGGCGCGTCACTACAAGCCACTCCAAATTGAACTATTAGATTGAAAATTAATAGATGAACTCATCCAGTGTTAGAGAAGTCTTTATTAAATGTATCGATATTTTTTCCATTTCGATAAATTGACTTTAGAAACAATTATAAAATGTTTAAAATGAAAACACGAAACAGAAGTTCAATTTATTTCAACATTCTATTTAATTACCTCGGGTAATTATCAATGAAATAATTTAATTACTTTTCATCTGTTTCGTTTTAAAAATAGGGAAAAAAACAACATATTAATACACTGCTGTTCATATTTTTTTTTAGATTTGTATTAATTTTTTGATTTTAATTATTAATGTTTTTTTTTAATAACCTTAATTCGGAGAATTGATTAAAAATACTAAAATAAAATTATGCAGTGTTATCACCACACATTATTAATATTTCAAGATACGTTATAACATTAGGTCAAAATTATTTTCATGAACTGTTTTATAAGGTCGTTTCGTATGAAATGTCACAGGATAGTTTATTTAGTAAAATAACTTCATGAAATCAAAACTTTTTTATTTAAATTGTTTATCCTCATTTTATATACATTTTCTCCAAGTTGTAAATATTTCAACACCATGACTGAAAAATTCAAGGTTTTATGAAGATATGAAGTCAGAAAACGCGTTTTTGATCTGAGATCATTTTAAAAATAAACTACATTTAAGAAAGTTGTCTAAATTCCTGAACAGATTGAAATCTGTTTGAGATTAGTCTGGCAAATAAGTTGGATGTGGAAAGATTTCGTAACACAGCTCGTTTAGTTTCTTCACTTTTCTCTCGTGAAACATAAGATATAGTGTTGTCGTGTAAGAGTATTATTTTGTAATTGATATTATGTAATTTTGATAAATAAAAAGACTTTTTCTTCTTCTTCTTCTATATATATTTTTTATGTTAAATTTAATATTTTAATCCACCAAGGAAAGAAAATTAATTTCTCCTTCGCATAATACATAGGATCTAATTATTTTTATATTGATTTGCTATTCCTTTACTAAAGAAAAATGTCTGCGAATTATGCGCCAAAAGAGCCAAATAGTAGTGAATAGAGGATCAATAACGGCTAATTATAATCTGTAAACATAAACAAAGTAAACAACAAAAGTACAGAAATCCCACTTTGAATTTCTGAGGTAACTTCATGGACTTTTCGTATGAAATGACCTTTTATATTGCCTTTATTTTGAAAATAACCCACACATATATATATATAATATTAAAAATATTTATATTTTGTAGATACTTACATGCTCTCCATTGACAAACCAGGTTAGATTTGCAGCAGGTTTCGAACCCGGCGTTGTACAACTGGCATTAATTACGTTTCCTGGCCTGTACCTCGGTTTCAGGCCATGAATGGTCGGTTGGCCGCTTGGAGCCTCTGCAACAGCCAACAATGGAATTAATCGCATTAAACACTTCCCCCGGTAACTTCTAATAATTGAATACCTTGCAAACCGATATAGCTCCTACAATATAATTAATAATTTCAGTATTTGGAATGTTCTCATTTATTTTCGTTTAAACTTACCGCCGTGTGCCCTTTTCAAGTAATAAATACCTCTCGGTTTGTCGTAACAATAGGTATTATATATTTAAATGCTCAGCGATCTAAATGGAGGAGAATTGAGTTAAAGGAGATCTCGTTTGTCAAGAACCATAAACGTATTGATTCATCCTTGAAATATTAATTTTAAAAACAAACATTTTTTTATTATTATTTCTTAATGATATTTACAACTGTATTAAACAAATACGTCTAGTAAATTTGAACATATGGATATAATGACATGAAAACACTTGCTGAGTTACTACCCAAGCACTCTAATGATATGTCTACATTAGGAGATCACTGGGCCATCTTCTTTTCAGACGCCTCGGAAGGTTATCAAGAATTGAAGAGGAAGCAAGGTTAGAAAGGAGAAGGTTGGGATGATTTTGAAGTTTATTATTGAAGGATAGGTATCTGGATTGGGCCAGATCTGAAACAAAACATACATTAAGTTGATTATGGATGGTTTTATTTGTAACAAAGTAGAGAGAATTGTGGATTTTACGAAGGATTTTGGGTTGTGAGGATTGGATACGAGAGTAATTCGATGGTTTAGTGGAGCTCCATAGCTCAACTCCGTAAGTCCAAATAGGCCTTGTTATAGCCATGTATATGAGTCTTTTGTAATTAATTGGAGGTTTAGAGCATTTGTCTAGTAAGTGCTGAAGTAATCGGAAACGTTGAGCGGTTTCTTGTCGTTTCACTCTAGTAAAAACAAACATTAATTTAAATATTAATTTCTCAGGCGTTTGATACAGTCTGGCACCAGGATCTTCTATTTAAACTTAAGACTATACTGCCATACATGTACTATCTTATCCTTCAATCACTCTTCTTCGACAATTGTTTTTCTGTTCGACCGGTCTCGAAAATGTCTTCAGTTCGTCTAATCGTGACTGGAGTTCCCCAAGGTTCAATACTAGCTCCTCTACTTTACATCGTATACACTTACGACACAACAATTACCGTCGAGCTACTTGTGCAGAAGATAGAACAATTCTCACAAAACATCAAGAGCCTACACAGGCCTCACTAACTCTACATCACTTACTTAAATTACAAGATTGGTTCAAACTATGGAAAATTCGAAACTTAATCATGACAAATCCAAACATATAACATTTACTCTTCGAAAAAACACTTGCCCTCTAGTTTATATTGACAACAATCAAATTCTTGTGATACTTTATTTTGGACTTACCTTCGACAGAAGGATGACATGGGATCAGCATGTAAAAATGAAACGTGAACACTCAACAAACGATTCAAACATCTAAAACTGAGACAGAAACTGAATTAATATACATCTTACTTAAACCCACATGGACATACTCATCACAAGTATCGCTAAAAATACCCACCCACAAAAACTTCAAACCTTCCAATCAAAATTATTGCGACTCATAACGAAAGCACCTTGGTACGTGACTAACAAAACACTACATACTGACCCTTTACCAACGATTTTACCCTGATTTAAACGGACATAATAACATACTAAAAGAGACATGGCCACAGATGACATACCCTTAAACAAGAGGAGGAGACTAAAAAGGCATTGGATGAGAGATCTCCTTCCTTAAACAACCTAAGTAATTGAAAAAAGTCAGGAAAGAAGTGCTGCTGAACACTTTCCTTCCCTATTCCTATCATGCCATTATGTTCTGCATCTTCAGCACATTTGCTGATTGTCAACAAAAATTTGAGAGTCAGAAATACATTTTTATAGACAAAAAAAAATGTTTAGAAACAAATATTAGTTCCATATATCGAAAAAATATTTTGGGTCTGGATATTGAAAAAAAAAAGGGGTCTAACTACTGTAAAATAACATCGATAAATATATTAGATTATAATTTGCTATGATAAGGCTTGTTCTAATATCTGGACGCTAGAACTGCACACTAACAAGAACCTTGGATTTTTTTTTATAATGTCTACAATCCATAGTTTCCGCCATTGTATTTCTTGCTGTCCAGTACCGTTCTGATTTGAACTGCGTTCTATATATTTTGTCCAGAAAACGAAAGCATACATTTAAATGTGTTGCAACCATGATTGCTGTATTGCATAGATTAGAACGTTGAGAGTCTGCCAGAGTTACAATGCCCTGATCAGAGATCTAAAGCATGGAGAAGACCAATAATGAACTGCTTGCAAAAATTTTCCAATCAATATCTCATGATATCAGAGCAAGGAGGTTAAGATGGACGGACATGCAGGTCGGCGTTATCTATCAGAAAGCCTCAACACAACTAGAATGACTCAATAGTTGCCAAAAGAGGTGAGAAAACAGATCAAACTAACAAAGATGCATGTAGAAAACTGGATATCTACAATCCCAAATAGACAGAGAATCTGAAAATACCTGAAAAGAACTACCAGGTCTGTAAAGCCTTAGAATTGTAACAGCTTACGTAGACATAATTAAATATTTATATGCTATTTATCACAAAAAAGTGTTAATGTAGTCATGGTATACTGTACACTATCCACAGAGAATAGAATACACAAACTTGCTGAATTAAAAAAAGCCTAAAATGTCCGAATCAAATGATATTTCGGAAGAAGGTAATGTAGCAAGTAATGTAATGAAATGAAGTAATATAAAGTGAATGTAATATATGGATGGTCCTTGATTTTTCCCAATTTTAGGATCTTGTGTTTCTCAATAGTTGATTTTACTACCCTAAATTTTCAGGTAGTCCAAAAACAGAAATTAATTAATATAAATTAGTAATAAAACAAATCAAGAGACAGAAAGTAAATCATAGGTTACAATTGGAAACAATCCAAACCAATCTCATTTCTCCAAAATGTAAGAAAAGAAAAAAAAAAATTCAACGTTTCGCCAATTCGGACATCATAAGGACAGAAAATCATCAGGAACATCATTCTATCACAGGCAGATCTACGGGAGGAGGGAGGGGCTTTCGGTCTGAAGTCCCTCCCAAAATGAGAAAATATAACCATGGTTTATGAAATAAAAAAATCTCTAAAAGTAATATTGTTTGTCTAATTACATTTAATATGACTTAAAGAATCACTTGAACACCATTTCATATAGGAGCTTAGTTTCTTTCTTTCTTCTGAAGTAATTATCGTAATACATGCATAAAAAAATAAATCCTTCGTACTGAAGCTCCCCGCCCAAATTAAATTCTGGATGCGGATAGTGCACTCCATGATATCCTTTAGTATGCGATTGGATGGCATGGAGTAATGATTGATTTTGGCTCAACGTTGAGGTTTTTTTTTTTCTTTGCCTGAATTTTGGATACATAAGGATTTATTGTCTGGAATTTCCCCAATTATAACCTAACTAAAATTAATATTCAATTATTTTTTTTTAATATTTGAATTAATTCGAACTTGACAATATTGTGAAGGCTGCAATGAACAACTGGCAATCGGTTCTCCCTCTGACCTATTCTGAACTGATGGTGGGAGTGCGGGAGGAGGTAACTATGCCGAACTTTCTTTTGTGATGTAAATTAAAGAGACCGCGGCATTCAATTGGTGCGAATCGACCGATATAAATCAGAATATAGCCCGATAATAATATCGATTATATAAATTGTAAGATTTATATGAAAATAAGGTTTTATTATTGCTAATATTTTTTATTATTATTACACACCAATGATAATGGCTTTGAGTTAAAACGATGCCTTTTTTATTTTTATTGTATCCGTACCCCACAGTTAAACAACACAATGTCCATTTTTTTTTCTGTTCAAGGGAGCCAATTCTTCTTAACTTTGATCTTTTAAAATTTGTTTCTTAGTTACTTAATTATTTAATGAAAAAATGGACAGGGTTCTTTTTTATCTTCAGAGCATATATATATATGTATATATATATATATATATATATATATATATATATATATATATATATATATATAATATGATTGTTGGGATAAATTAAAGTATATGTCAAAATATCTTAAATAATGTACTATCTTTGGTTGACGTGTTTTGGTCTTCTAGGTAATTAGGTAATAGTCCGTGTAACAGACCCCTTTTTATCGAATATTAACAACCACCTGAATTTCTTAAAGAGTTTCATCTCATCGTAACCTATAAATATTTTATTTACGAAAATTACCAAAATCGGGGCGTTTTCAATCTGGAGATCGCCAAACTTTGTCTATTTAATTAGATATTAAAAACTCCTAAATACTCATTTGCTTTCTAGTTCGATCGTATATTGAAAAATATTGAGCCGTTTGGTGTGACCTACACTCCAAAATTTTGAAAAAAACGAGGTTATACAGTACAAACGGCCCAATAGCTTTGTTAGCCTCCTCGATTTTGTAATCAAATAATCTTACGATCTATGGAGAAAGCCAATGCTTATTTTCGAGTTTTTAGTACTTAATTAAGTAGAAAAAATTTGTCTCCCTCCAGATTGAAAACACTCCTATTCCAAGAGTTTTCGTAAATTAAATAGTTGTAGGTTAGGATGAGATGAAACTATTTACGAAGTTTCAGGTGGATGTTAATAATTCGATAAAAAGGGGTCTGTACCACGGACTGTAATATTTAAATAAGCATTCACATAAGTCCAGCAAAAAGTATGTAATTCTTGAGTAATTCTTAAAATTTAGCGCTCAGCATGACTTTTTTTTCCAGCTTCTTTTCGGAGAAGTATGTTATAAACGTCTTCTCTTAGCCAAGTTTCATTGAAATATTTCAGCACTTCTGGCGACACAGTCAATGGAATCAAAATTTTTCGGCCACCATTTTAGAAGGAAACTGCGGATCGTAATGTCGATTTGGGAGTTAGATTCAGAATCTCAATAAAATCGACCCGTGATTTTTTTT